TAGTAGCTTGGTCCAAAGAGGCCTGCTAGAGTGAGGTGTGTGTATTTTCTTCGTGTGGATTAAGATGAAATTAAGACAAGAACACAATCCACAGCCACAATACTTACCATTTCATCAATCGTGGCTAAATGAAGCTATCAGCATGTTCTTTAGAAGCCAGGGCTGCCATTTTCCTAGAGTTTTGCTTTGAGTAGTGATGCTTAAAAAAGAATTCCCTTATGCATAAATTGCAAAATATCTGATCTACTATAAAATGCTTGGATGTTAGAGGTTTTCCAAGGTCCTTATGATTCAATTTAAGAATATAGTATGTATGTAATGTCTTCCGGAGTTCCAAGATAAAGGAACAGTTAAATTCCAAGGACTTACAGGGAACTTTTAGGTTTCTTTTTATGCATACCAGAAAGACAATATACATTCAGGACATTTTCAATGGTAATGAAGGTACCATACCTGTGATGATGGTAAGGATGGTGGTGGTGGTGGTGGTGGTGGTGGTGGTAGTGGTGGTGGTTGTTGTGGGAGGAGGGATAGTTGTGGGGGGATCTGGATAAAAAAAAAAAGGAAAATCAAACCCACAATGCTGAACACAACAATGACAGTAATGACAAAACAAAGGCATGAAGACATTGAGATGTTTGTTTGATGACTTCCCTTTTTAAAACCCAAAGTTCTTTCCCCCAAAGATTTAGGTCTTATAATTATATCCCAAAGCTTAGCTGGAAGAGCTGAGAAGAGAAGAAAAGAGATTTCTTATTAATGAAGTTAATTAGGGATGAGGAGACATGAAATGGAGAAGTGAGGAAAAATCTAAACACGTGACCCCACACCAGATCTTAAGGTGAGGCTGAATCGACTCAGCGCCGAGAGGGGACAATGGCTGTCATTTCGCTCATGCTTCCACAGATGGGAGGGAAGAGGAGGAGAAGGTGGTGTTCTATTTAAAGGGCTCCTATCGGCCAAGGATGAGTATGCCCTGCACACTTGCTCTCTACGACAGCTAACTTCATTATTCTCCATCAATACATCCCAGCAGGAAGTAAAACTACTTCTATACTTGTAATAAATACAAAGAAGAGAGAATGTCACCACTAAATATCAAGTTCCAGGCATGTGAGATTTTACTGAGATTTTATTTTTTAAAAGTCAATAAATTTTACAACTTATAAATATTAATAAGTTGCCTTTGCTCATGTTAAAAGCTTGACCTAAGTGGATGACAATGATAAAACTGAAAGAACATTCTCTATCTCATAAACAAGAGAGCTAAATATAAATGAGGTTTGACCCTCAAAGCCAGGAACCCGATAGGGAATCCTGTCTGATATTTGATATAGTGTATATCTTTCTATCATCTCAAAAATTATTTGGGGATAAGGGAAGGGCAAATATGAAAGAGAAAAAAATTCTAAGCCTAAATGATCAAACTGAATGTGTTAAATTGTCAGCAAGACTTTGAACTAAGCAATCATTCTGCTATAATAGAGCATAAGACGATGTGAAGGCTTTTGATTTTAAATTTTATCTAAAGCACGTCAACTCTTTCTCCCTGACACATCTGGTGTCCTTTTATCTTCAAGTGAGCTCTCGGATTGTCTAATTAATACATCAAAACTTTAATTATATATTGCACCTTTCCTGGGTTTGGCACAACTTCCTGAAAGTTTATGAAACCACTATTTTGGTGCTGAGTTGCAAGGTCTACATAAAATGATTTCTATCATTGATCAATAATCCAAGGCTTTAATTTTCCTCACAAACTGCTTCTGTCACACAAATATACTTGTAGGAATTTGATAAGAAGAATCAACAGCAAATGGTTCTGTTTTATGGAAGACTTTGCTCCTTGAAGTCGGGGATACAAGCATATTAAACTATTGTTTAATGCAACCTCACGAGTCCAAAAGGATTTCATTAAAAAAACCTCATTCTCCTTCAAGAAGTAGGGATGAATTAAATTAGTGATTTTAAACTACTTTTCAAAATAGGACAGGATGTGAAATACTGTAATTCAGGCAGGATGTTCAATCTTGCTCATGCACTTTTCATGGTGGCTACACGGAGGGAAGCATTTTGCAACATGGCTACTCTGTTTGATGCTCCCATACCTGATGCAAGGGCCAGTGCAGAGAGGGATGGATAGAGAGAGCACACTGACCCCCGAGACCAGCACTGCAGCCATCCTGCTCTTTCTGCTAGACAACTAAACTATGTCCATAGAGGTGTCTCCTGCCCATCATGAGGACAGCTACTATGGTTTTTGTGTGTAGCTTTACACACAAATATTATCAATATTATACAATATTATTACTGAAAAGGAATGTGTGTACCTGGAAGATGTCCCTGACATACTACAATACCTTGTTATAAAAATATTGGCACAAAGTGTGTGATGTGTATAATACAATAAAAATATATTTGAATGTGATTTAAAAATATGTTATGAACCAAGAGGTGGACTAGACTAACAAGGCATAGACTTCAGAGAAAGGTCACCAATCCCTCTCATTTTGTGAAGTCAGATGCTTTTGATTATCTTCATCACTACTAGGGCAACTGCCGTCCTCCACATCTGGCTCAAGTAACTTGAATGAATTAGATTCCATGAACAGGTAAAACCTCCATGTTTAGATCATTTCTAGAAATAAGAGCAATGAGAGGTCATTATGTAAGAAATGACCAAAAGAACAAAATAAGTTGGGTCTCAGACACTAACCAATTCAGTTCTTCAGGTACAGAAGTTACTTTCAGAAGATTAAACGTTTTAGAGGCATATTAACTTTTAGTTTATAAACACTTCAAAAATTGCTGGAGTAGTATAATAAATTAGTGAGTAGGAAGAAAATCTACCCACTATCTTCCCAAATTGCTAAGATGAAGTATTAATGGACTATCAATCCCTTAGGTTGGTATTTTAGACTGTCTACTGCAGAACTATCAAAATCCCTAAACCAGGACACGTGGACCATCTTATGTTAGGGAGATACAGGTATGCAGATGTGTTTATCTAAACAGGTGGATTCCTGTATTTCTTGGTGTTCAAATAATGCACTGTGGTCCAGAGGGTTAATTCCAAAAGGACAGCCTTATATTGGAGAAAACTGTTCTCTTGGAAAGAAGAAAGACACTGAAATCATAATATTGTATCTCTAAAATATTTCTGGTAACCTTGTGGACTCTGGCAAAATTATATTATCTTTCTAAGCCTCATTTTATCATCTGTAAAATGGGATAACAATAATGCTTTCCTCCTGGTGTTATTGGGGAGAACTGGTGAGATCATGTATGTAAAATTGTCACTGGAGGGCACAGAACAAAGTGAGCACCTAACACATGTTAATTATAAGGTACTATCCAAAATTATTCAAATATATCATTTTTCATACTCTCAAAATGTTTCTTTTCTTGAGATATAGGAACAGTAGGTACAATAAATTAAAACCATTTTTTCCAGGTAACTTAGTCTTCTGAAACACAGAAGCATATAACAGATAGGGGGCAAGTTGTCACTGCTTTTTAAAATCTGAAGTTTATGAAAAGAGCTGGACTGAGAGTCTCTGTACACCTGGGCAGCCGCAATGTAGGAGACTCCCACGGGGCTCAGACTCCAGGTTGAGGGGGTTACATGCAAAAGCAAAGAGAGGATTTTATCTTCCACCCCTGCTGAACAATATGAGGAATGGAGGTGGCTCTGCACATCACCAGCTCCAAAGGGGGCATGGTGTATTCACTTTTCATCTAAAAGAAGAGCCGTTTCCTTCACATGGGTCTCCTTAACCACTAGGGAGAATTAATGCTACCATATATGGCCACTGATGACATGGGATGGTGTGCAAAGAAACCATCTGCAAAAGTCTACAAATAAGGTGACTAGACATGATCTTTTAATCTTGCATTATGCAAGAGGAAAGAAAAACTCAGGTACAAACTGAGGATTATGTCTTAATATCTAGGTAGATATGGTGTAAAGCATGCTTCTATTTAATTAAGAAGACTGGCACTACTATTTTCTTCAGAGAAAACGTGCCAAGGTTCTAAGACACAAGGGTGTAAATATTCCATATGTATAATTTATGTGTGTCTATGCAAATATTCACATATACTTGGGATTATTTATACTGCTAATGTGAAGAAAGAAATACACCTCCCATATTAAAATATTTATGACACTGAAATTTTGATGCCTCTGGTTACTCATTCTGTGTCTGGTCAGTTCATGACTATTTTTCTTAGTGTAAAACTAAAGACTTCAACTGGAAAGAAGAGACACAATGGGAGGGAGTGCACTCAACTAAATAGAGAATATTTGCCATATACAAAATGAACAATACGATATAAATGAGAAATGCCTGGCACATAGTTGGTTATCAGTAAATATTTGTTGATTAGAGGATGAAATTCATGATAATATGCTTTAATAACTCTGTAAAAAAGATATTGGTTAAGAAAACAGACATTTTTTAAAAAGGCACTTGTATCCAAAGCAATAGCTATAGGTGGTCTATATGCTAACAAGAACCTTGTATTCATTCCATGTATTTACTGGCTTGCAACATCTTCTGGAATTTAATAGGTTTATGCTGAAAATAGGATAGTTCTGCTCATCAAAGCAGGAGAAAGGCTAGCCCAGGCATCACATGAAAACACCAGTGGGAATAAACTTTCTGAGCTGAAAGCCACTAATTGGTAAGGTTGAATTTTTCAGTCATTACTTCTAACATAATCTCCATGGCTTGTGCCTGAGGACACAGCTTCCCTACTCAGCATGACCAGAGACTGTGATCTAGAGGGAAATCCCCAAGATCAGAGGAAGAGAAGAAAAGTCACTGCTGACCCAGGTGGAGACACTGGGGTCCACCTCAGGCCAGCCTTCTTTAAGTTCTTGAAGGAAACCAAGTGGTTTTTGGTTTTCAACTTGACCAAACATGTTGGGAGTGAATCCTAAGTAGCAGCTACATGTGTATGAATCTAGTAGAAGAGCGTTTTATCTTCTCACGTACCGTATACATACAGCATATAATCCGAATGAGCTTTCCCCACTATGTTTGAAGCTTCACAGCGGTATGTACCATTATCTGTTTTGTTTAGGTTATTGATGAACAGGTTGGGCCCAGACAGGACGGCGTGTTGAGGCATTTCATCATCGACTCTCACCCAATTTACCATCACCGGCCTGCAGAGAAAAGGGAAGAAAGACAAGCCATGTTATTATTTCCTATTAAGATACCTGCATCAAACTTATCATCCACACATTAAAGAATCACATGCAGGGCAACACAATTAAAGAGAACCTACTGGAGATGTTTTAAGTTCACAGAACTACAACCATGAATTCTCCAAAAATCTGTATGAAATATAAATTTTCTTCTTTTAAAAACATGATCAGGTGTTGAAAGTTTTTCAACAGACACAAGTAGGAGTCTCATTATTCCCAATTCATCTTCAACACATCAGTAAATAAACCAGTGTGCCCTATGTTTGTACCCTGCTGGGTGGTTTCACACCAATTGAAGCAGGACAGAGCCCACCCATTGTTAATCATCTCATTAATTAGGGGAAAAAAATCAAGTCCACGGCTAGTGATATATGCATTAATATGATACTTACTAAGATGCTTGCTTGCTCAGAAACTCCTTGTGATATTTAAGTGAATTTTGAGAAATAGACTTTTACATCTGACTTTTTCTTCTGGCCTGTTTTTTGAGAAATCACTTCTGATTCAGGAAAGATGCAATCACTTCCTCTCCCCATAACCTGCCCTTCCCCTCCCAAGATGCCATTCTGAAGTCCTGGTCCACCTTGTCTATATGCTCCTTGGCCAGCAACTGCCTTTCTTTCCCAGCTCTCATAGGCTCACTTATTGCTAGACTTTTTCCCATGCATGCACCTGCAGTCCTCCAGGCTGAAGATAGGGCTCTCAGGTTAATCACATCTCCACATGCATTCCTCAGGTACAAGAGAACTTGCTCATCAAAGACAAGTCTGTTTCAGTGACTTCAAGTACCACATTTGTACCCATTAGGAAAAAGCAAATTTCACAAGGTGTTCCAGAGCCAAAAATGAATTCACTCAAACTCACTGAATTTGAAACTTCTGTTCAAGATGACTCCTTCAACTGCCTATGAAATTAAGGGCACATCTAAGAGTATGCCTGAAAACATCCATATTTCTGTGTGTGTGTGTGTGTGTGTGTGTGTGTGTACATGTGGAGTGGAATCCAGGGCCTTGCACATGCTAGACAAGCCCTCTACCACTGAGCTATACCCCTGGCCACAAACTTTAATGTCAAAGGAAGAACAAAAGAGACCTGAGAACAGAAGTCACTTCCTTTCAGTTCCTGTGGCTACCTCTAGGAGCAGTGACATGACAAAGAGTCCCATGCTTAATGATGAACGGATACTCAAGTTAGCCCTGTCAAGTAGAATTCCAATTTTCAAATGGGATGTGAAGTTACAATTTTTCTTTAATTACACATGGGTTTGTCATCACAACCCAGTAAATTATTTAAAAATTAGTACTGCATATGTCCTCCTTGTAGGCAATGGCAAATGGGGCTGCCTGGCAATCAGACCTAATGTCCTGCTGCTTGACAGCTGAAACAATCAGTGGGGGTAAGTGCCGAGAATATTCACAACATTTAATGGCAAGTTAAATTACCATTTTTATTGTATGCAATTTCTTGAGAAAATAAATAGGTAATATGCTAGAAGGGATAGCAGCAGAGTAATGCGTGCTTGCTCACACAACCATATACCCGTTCCTATTTGAGAGGAACAAACAAATACCCTCTCTGGCATAAATGTCCTGAAGGAAACATGTAATTTACTGTCCCCGTGGCACATTCAATTGAACACAGTACCTTCTTCAGAGGAAAAAATACAGAAACAAAATATAGGTTAGCAAGCCATATACTGTAAGTGTGGTTAATGTGGCTGAATATAGGTATTGTGAGTGGCAAGAGGCCTCTGAGAATTTTTTTCCCTCCACTGGATTGTTCTGGAGGCAAGGTAAGCTGCTAATTATGGCATAATTCAGTTTACAAAACATAAGGTCTAAATCTTTTTACAGTGCTCAAAAGAAAAAAAAAGATGGTTAGATCGAAGCTGAAGGTGTTCGGAATTAAATAACTTCAGAATACCAGGGGAAGTGCAAAACAAAACCAAGACCATTTTCCACCTCCCAAAGGTCATCTTTAAAACTCGAAATGGTTAGACAGAGGTAAGGGTACTGTAGCCTATGGAGAGGTAAGCACAAAAATAGGGAGGGTTGAAGTGAGAACAAAGAACGGACTGCAGCCACCTTCACCTTTGGCTCTCTGGGATCGTGGCATAGGCCATTCGTTACTATCATGGGGAGAATTCTTTCCAAAGATTTTTTTAGGAAGCTTTGTTATGTATTGTGTGCTAAGCTCTTTATATGAAAACTGTGACAACCCTGCTTAGGAAAAACCTTGTGAGGGGGGAAAAATGTCATACCATAGGGACAGCAGAGGGAGCTCAATGCTTTTTTGTTGTTGTTGGGTACCACTAAAAGTTTGAGTGCCCTTAATTCCAACATTGACCTGTTCTACTTCCTGATTCCAGGGATTCCCCGCCCCCACAAGAAAATAATTAAAAATAATCTTCAGTAGGAAAATGAAAGATTCTCCATTCTTCAAGCAGATGAAAAAATATTTAAAGTGGTATCATCTCTCTCTCTTTTTTTTTTTTTTTTTGCCATGTTAGTGGTTTATGTAGTTTCTCTAATTTACTTTAGATCATTCACAGGGGTAAGTAAAGTAGCTCCTTTATACTTTTCAGTAAAATGAGTCTTGGTCAGTTCTTCTTTCTCTCTAAAGTATATTCTCCTTCAGGAAAGTTCCTGAATCTTTCCTTACTAAGAAAAATATTTCTCAGAGTTAAAAATGATACTTTTCTCTGAGGGAAGAAGATGCAATATTAAAGGCAGGTCAAATTTGTTTGCCTATAGTTGGCCCTAAACACAGCACTAAATTTGAGTCTGAAAACCATCTTTCCAGCAGCGTACATATTAATATAGTAAGTAGTAGATATATCATTAGATTGTGGGCACACTAAAAATTTATTAGGATTATTTTGTGTGTATGTAAGAGAGAAAATAGTCCTGACAATCATGTTGATGATAATAAAACAGAATTAGCTGAGATTTCAATTTTAGCTGGCGTTTAATTTTTCTCCCAATCCTGACTATTAAGAACCAAGATATTTATTCCCACCTCATCGAATATTCGTTAGTTTCTAGAAAAAAAAAATCTTCCATCCTTTACAGCAGGAGACAGGTGACAGGCCAATGAGTTGTGAATGCACATCTTTGTGTTGTGACATTTACTGCTCATGACCCTCTGCCAACCTTGGCCTTCAGAACTTACTGGGGCTTCCCGATGGCTTCACATGTTAACTCAAGCGCGTCCCCTTCCCGGGTTAGGCCTTGTAGAGGATAAGTCATCTGAATATGCACTTGAGGCTTATCTGTGTGACAACAACACAAAGTATAATGTTTAGCAAATGATATCATCCAGCAAAAAAAAAAAAAAAAAAAATCAGACTTGCATGCTGCCACAAACCCGACACTACCAGCACTTATTCTCTCCCCACCCGTATGCCTTCAGTAACATCCTTCTAATTAGTTAGTAATCCTGGCATTTGCTCAAATTAAATTGACTAATAACTCTAAGGAGTGAACCGCGAATAGATAAGAGATTCATAAGCCAACTGCGCCACATCAAACATTTCCTGTGAAATACATTTTGTTACATTGAAGTTTATCTCTAAACTCACTCAAGCTAAAGGAAACTCATTTGCCTTCATGCTGAGGTGAAGCCACAGATATTTGTGGTGCTCAGAATTGATACATTTTATCATATATCATATATTACTATGTGACAATATGTTGTGACACTGCATATTAATAAGTTTGCCTCTTCTATGCTCTTGTTTTCAAATGGGAAAGGCGGAAATTCTGAATTCCACTCAAAAGGCTTAGGAAGAAAAGAACTGGGAGGTTTCGGCGGCCCCCAGTAAAATGCTGACATCTCAGCATAAACCTAGAAGAAGAAAGGAAACTGACATTTACTCAGAGCCTATTATCATAGGAACCATCAATGGTAATGGCATAAGTCCAGTTTTAGAGGTGAGAATTCTGGTACCCACAGAATGAAGTTGCTAGTCCAAGGTCATGGAGATAACCTAAGGAGAGAGCCCCATGGAATGTATATTGGGGCAGACTTCTAATTCAAAATTACATTTCCTAATGGCAACCCACAATTGCCACGACGGCAACTATTTGGGATGTTATGTAAGTAACTCTTAATTTCCATAAGCTACTTAAAACCGTGCTTGCTGCTGTGCCCAGTGGTGCACATCTGTAATCCCAACAACTCTGAGGCCGAGATGGAGGGATGTCAAGTTTGAGGCCAGCCTCAGCAACTCTACAAAACACTTGTCTCAAAGTAAAAATTTAAAAGGCTGTGGATGTTGTTCAGCAGTAAAGTCTCTTGGGTTCAATCCCCAATGTCATTAAAAAATAAATAAATAAAACAAAAACAAAACAAATAAAAAAGCCTGAGCTTGTGAGTAAGGGTATAGGTATGAGAAATGAATGAGGGGTGGTGTAGAAAATGGGGAGAGAAGTGTAAGACATAAGAATTAAAATGGATAGACATACAACTACATTATAAATAAAACCTGAATGAAATTACTTTTTTCTATGCCGAACTAACAAGCTACTAATCCCTAAATCAGTTTTCTCATTTAATTCTGTGGTTCTTTAAATGTATATTTTTCGAAATGTACCCAAGAGTAATAAGTGTGAGAGGGCAAGACAGCAGTTGGCTGAAAGGTCGAAACAATTACCATAGTTTTATTTCTCAGGCGATCATACCACCTAAACAACAGCCCCTTGCCTTTTATAAGCAGTGGTGAACTCATTAACATTCATCCTATGGAATAAGGGAGAGGATGGAAATATGGCTGGGCTCGACCAATTTTACCCCGTACACAGCTCTAGAAGCACACATCGAGGTCCTCTCTAGCCATGGCTACTTCTGGATGCATTTTTATAGTCTTGTTCCTGTCACTGTTCTTTCCTGTCTCTGAAAAGCATGTGGCATTCAAGAGCCCCCTCATACAACCACTAATGTGCAGTGCACATTAAATTGGCAGTACTTTCTGAGAAGCTACGACACTTGCCAGAGAACATCAAGTTGGCAAGCCCAAAAGCTCCAGCTGACCCTTCTGAGTAACAAAGTTCTAGTCTTGCACTTGTTGGCAAAGGAAATGTTCAAGAGCAAAACAGCATTTTTTCATGTACTTGTTGATTGATTGTATATCCTCCTCCCTGAGAAGTGTCTGTTCAGGTCCTTGGCCCATTTGTTGATTGGGTTATTTGTTATCTTATTGTCTAATTCTTTGAGTTCTTTGTATACTCTGGATATTAGGGCTCTATCTGAAGTGTGAGGAGTAAAAATTTGTTCC